TGTACAGTGATGGCACCATTGGAAAGTCCTACCAGACCAGCTGCCTATAAATGTTCATTTCTCCATATCCTTGTCAACACTTGTTATTTTCTGGGGGTTGGGGGGTGGGTTTTTTGTTTTGTTTTGTTTTGGTAAGTAGCCTTTCTACTCATTGTTCATGGTAGGAACTCTACAAGTAATCTCTTTTGGTATCTTCAATAAACCCTGGCCACATATAAACACCATTTTATAGCAACAAAACTTCCACGAATCTACAAAATGTTTCTATGAGAAAAGAGACAGTTAACCCAGACTAGCTGCTTCTGAATTTGATAATGATCATTTCCAGTTTCACATATCCAGTCAACCAATTGAATTACTTCGTTTGGGCTACATTTATGAGACTTGTGGGCTCTATAGGACTTATTGGAGATGCTGATTCCCCAGATCTGAGACCCTCCAGTTTGGAAACCCCAGCACAAGGTGGAGGCCATCCATGCTAACTGGTGTTGCGAGTTTGAGCAAACATTGAACAGAAATCTAAATTATAGTTCGAAATCTTTTTAGTGTTGCCAAACAGAAAACCTCTCTGAGGTTTCCAAGGTAACAGACTAGAGTAAATCTATGATTTTATGCTTTCTACCTTGGTTTTCAGGAACATATTAGATTAGTTTGATTATAGTAAGGCAGGAATGGTAGGTCTCTGTGTGTTGGGAGGTTTGTGAAATGAGATTTATCAAAGTTTCTCCTGAACAAATAATCCCTGAGATCAGCCTCCCTCAGAGGGCAATCTTTCCTAGATCTGCAGTTGTCTGAAATATCTGCAGGATTTCCCTCCTTGTGAATATCCAAATGCCCACTTTTTGCATTCCTTAACAGTGGGCCTGTAATAAGCCTTGAGATGAAAGGAGAGAAACAAGAGGAGAGGGCATGGAGGCAGATATGTAATAAATATTCCCCCATCAGCATGGCAGATTTCTCCCCAACACTCCCATCTACAAGCCTCACGTGTCCCCAGCAAGTGCTGCAGAGACTTGTGAAGAAAATCGGGACACTTTCCTAAGATGGAGAAATCTGATTTTAATCTTAATATGAAGAATAGAGGTTTGTGTTGGCTAAACTATTAGCAATCAAGTACTCCTTGTATTATTCCCCAAACAATACAATTTGAAGTATAAAGAAAAGGAGAGAGAAAGAGAGAGAGAGAGAGAGAGAGAGAGAGAGATTGAGAGATTGAGAGATTGAGAGATTGAGAGATTGAGAGAGAATTTCCTAGCTCTGAGGTAGACTATTCTTCCCTCAAATGCTGAGAGACCTTGTGGAAGACCAGGAGATGGTGTGAGTGCTGCTGTGGTCTTACAGAGGAGAATAAGGGAGAGAACCCCGAAGCTTCTTGGAGGGAAGAAAGAACATCTGAGAGTGAATGTGAACTATTACTTCCTTAGAAATTATGGCCCCAGGATCTCTCATACTCTGAAGTTCCCCGCACGGTTCTGTCCGCCTTGTGCCAGAGCGCCCTCTGCAGGGCACTGAGACTCAGACCTGAAATCCCAAGATCTTGCCTTGCATGTTCCCTATGCCGAGCTTAATAAAGCTAGAAGGGGTGGGAGCGGGGGGGGAGGGCGGTGTGCTGTAAAGCACACACTTAAAATTGTTCAAATATGCTTCAAGCAGTTACTAGACACTCAGGCCTTAAGCTGAAAATATGTGTTGGCTGAAGCTATCCTCACAAATATGCTCCTTTATGTTTACAGCCCTCGCAAATATCTTCCTTGCTTGTCCACTCTTAGGAAAGGATGTACGTGCCAGCGAGCCAGTCAGCCCTCTCTGCGCTCGACACACACAGCAGGGCTCTGACAAGGCTAATGTAATACACCATGTAAATCAGGGGAGAAATGAGGGCGTCTGGATGCTTGCCCTCACCGGCCAGAACCGGTTCCTCATAGTCACACATCAGCGTTCTGTTATGGTATCTGACACTTGGTTTGTCTTAACATAAACTCCACGATAAAATTTGATCAATAGCCTCATTTTCCCTGCCTCCAGCCCAAACAGATACTCATTTCTCTTTTGAAGAAAGAAGACTGTAAATAAGCCTGACCCAACAGTTTTTAACTTAACTCAACCTAATGCATGCTTACAGAAGGAATGGATCACCTGCTTAGAGGTTTTTGATTTCATTTCTAGTACTCTTGTAAATTAGAAAATTACAGTGCTTCTGCTTCTGAGTAAACTCTTTATGCTTGCTTAGTTCTCAAAGGCAATTGACTTGCATTTAGTAAAAATCAAATATATTGATTTTCCAAAAATATATACTGTAAGACTAGAAGATGCTTGTATGTATAACCTGTACTAAATATATAGAATATAAAATTACTTATTCATTCCAGTCTTACAGTCCTCCCCACCAAAGAAAGCCAAAGTTCCCATCATTTAAATAGGCAGCATATGAAAACACCACTAATTGTATGGCTTTTGTAATTAAAATTTTTTTCTCTTCTGTGAATGTGAATTTAGAAGCATTTATGGGAAGGGTAGGCTTTACTTGTTCTTTGACAATTTCATATGTGTATATAATGTATTTTAATCATCATTAAGTTTACTCCTCACATCCCTCTGAACTCGATTTTCCCAACCAATCCCCCTCCTGTTTTCATCTCTTACAAAAGGAAGAAAGAAAACATGACTCACTGGGTTCAGTTAGGGCTGTTTTCATAAGCATGGGTGTGGGAGCGAGGGCAACTCACCATTGGCCACATTACGGAAGAACCCCACCCCACCCCCAGCAGCCCTTCATCTTCCCTCTGGGGCTGGGACCTCCTGAGATCCTCCCCTCTTCATAATAGAATGCTGACAGCTCAAGCTTGCCAGGGTCTTGCGCAGGTAACCACAGCTACTGTGAGTTCTTTTTTTTTTTTTTTTTTTTTAGATTTTCAGTTTTTATTCTTTTACTTACTAATTAATACTTTGATTACAGGGGTTTGTCAGAAATCCATTCCATTATAATCACTTTGCACTTTGTTACAATGACAAGAAATCAGACTCAATGTCCATACCTCAATATATCAGCATTCACTCACTTGTGTATTTATCAGAATCATATGAGATTCTATTAAAAATAAAAATTCTTGAGATTTTTGTATCATAAATGCATGTGAGTATAATATATACTGTAAATATGTATTATATGAGAGAGAGGGACTTGGGAGAACTAAACACATAAAAGCATGATGTATTGATTCTACACAAATATATGTTGAGGATATGCAGTATATATCAGATATTTAAGTTTGGAACTGCATCTGAATGAATTCATATTCCTCCTTAATCATTCAGCAGACAGAAGCAAAAATTACAAAGTTAATGTTCACTTTTCTTTTTTCTTTTCTTTTTTTTTTTTTTTGTTCTTGAGCAAAGTGGCTATTACCTGAAGTCCTTAACAGCTTTCTCTTCACTTACTTCCCATAACAATGGGGAACGTTTATCTCCCCAGTCACAACACAATATTAGCTTATGTCTCAAAGCTTAACCTACAGTCCCATCTGCTGTTTAGAATTCCTACCCAACTTCAAGCTTAAGTAAAATTAGTAAATGAAATGGCCCTTTCTGTGCTTATGCTTGCAATTCCCAAACAAATCAAAAGCATTAAAAGGGTTGACCCGATGTTTTTATTTTTTTAAGGATTGTTATCACTGAGCCACGATGTGTATTAGTATCCTGCCAGTGTGGGAGCCACGTTCTTAGTAGCATCAATGGGATGGAATCGTTAACGAAACATAAGCTCACAAACGATCATCATTCAGAACATATAGCATCAAAACTTAAACTTACTTTCCTCGTTTTAAGGGAAAAATATTGGGAAAATGATTTTTTAAAACAAACAACAAGGGCCAGAGAGAGGACTCAGGGTGTACCCTGGAAGTCATTTGTGAAGGGGGAAGGAGGAGCCGACTCCAGAAGTTAGATTCTGACTTCTCAGGCACCGCGGCATGTGTAACCCCCGATAAACAATAATAGTAGATGGAATTAAAAATAATAACAGCAGCTAAATTCTTTTGTATAATATTAGACATGTAATTTATTAACCATATTATGCAAGGCTGTGTTTCTGGCCCCGACAATTGTAATTCAGCTGGTATTAAGTTTAGATGTGTGAGCATTGCCCTACAATAATGGGTAATATGTAAGAACTACACAATTGGTTCAATTATCCAAATAGAAGAAAAGAGCTAGCTCATATACTGTAGGAAGAATAAATAATTTTATTGATGCAATGATTTTCAAACCTCAGTAAATGTAAGAGTTACTGGAAGTAATTCTGAAATAGATTCATGGCTCTGAGCCCCTGAGATCCTTAACCAGTTTCTTAATTAATCAATCCAGTCCTTGGGTACTTCCTATCAAATTAGAATTCAGACCCTTTTTGAGGAAAAAAAATTTGAGACTTTATTTTTACTTTATGTGTCCCAGTATTTGCTTACAAGGAGAGCTGTGCACCCTGTACCTACCTGCAGTGCCCATGGAGGCCAGCAGAGGGTGACAGATCCCCTGGTTGTAAATTTTCCTGTGGGTGCCAGAAACTGGACCTGGGTCTTCTGCAAGAGCAGTTGGGGCTTTTAATCATCAAACCATCTCTCCAACCCTTGAGAAACATTTATTCATCTAAATTGCACTTTTTACTTGAACTGAAACTGCAGAGTCATCAGATAAAATACTGCTCTTAAGTTATGTTTCACATACCATCCTGATGTTTTACTGGAGTATCAAGATAGTCCGCAGAAGAAGGGTCAAGAGCAATTAGCATCTTTTCATCTCAACCAGTGTCTTTCCCACCGTGGTTGTGGAGAACCAATCCGCAGCTTCAGAACTCATTGATGTTCAACAGCCATGCAGACTTGGAATTGTTTTTCAAAGTGGTTTTTAAAAACAATTTTACTGTCTTCCATATCGTTGCCTAATATTGTTATGTTAAAATGAATTTGAATCACAGCACTTAATCTATATTTTCTTTTCATTTCAAGGGAAGACGAGGGAAAACAGGACCTCCAGGTAACCCAGGACCTCCAGGACCACCGGTGAGTAAATAGACCGTGGTTATGTGGCAAAATAAACGTACCTGCTGCCATCTCATTCATTTTAGTGCCCTTTATCCACCGAAGTGGTTGGTCTACCAGCAGTGCATCAGTTGAGGTTGATTAATATTGATGACAAAACAGCAACAAAACCCACAAGAGGGGTTTTGTGAACTGAATTGGATAGGATGTTGATTTTTATTACATTTTTTTTTGTTTTTAGCAAAACAGAGAAAGCTTTATAATTTGTTTTCAGTAGTTGCTTTGTGTTTTGAAGAAGAAAGTGAGGGTGTGCTGACAGGCACGGAGAAGCCTTTCTGTCATTTCTAAGCATTTGACAGGGCTTTAAGACAAGTGTCTCTGTGAAGGAACTTAGATGATGAAGACATGCGCACTTAGTGGGCCAAATGCTGGGGAGAAGATGACTATGCTGGAGTCTGTCGTGAGGTCTAACTGCTGACAGGCACGCTTACTGAAGAGTCCGGGAAGATTAGGAAATATGTGACCATGGGAAAGGATTTACAGCTCTCTGTTCCACGACTTCATGTATATTGCTACAGCGTTTGGGGGAGGTACGTGCATATTTTAAGAATTAGCATTTAAACTTAGCTATGGTTCTGATTCAGAGCTCTCGTTAAATCTTGTATTTGGGATAAAAATGGTTTATTAACTTTTTAATATAATAAAATAGCCAATTTGTTAGGCTAAGAAAAAAAGAAAACAGTTATGTAGACTATAAATGGGTTTTATACATAGGTCAGCGTTTGCTTAAGAAGAAAACATTGAGCTAAGTTATTGGTTCATTTCTGCTTGGTAATTGTGATTTAAGGAAACCGATTCCTCTGAATGACTGAAATAGTTCCTTTCATACAAACATCATCAAAACTTCATCTTAGGGTACAGTTTTCTTCAGTTTGAGGTTGTTCCCATCATAGGATAAATTGATGATCTGTATCTACCCTACTTGGCGTAGTTGAGGACATTGAAAAGTACAGTAATTAATTCTCCATGCTTTTGGCCCTGAACACTTAATTTTTCTAAATGAAAGGTCCTTGCAAAAGAGAACTTCTGTTTCCCAAATGATTAGAAATGAAGAGTGTTCTTCATAGTGAATCTTTTCAAGGTCATCATATCTAACGCTTTTCTAGTTGCACCAAATTCACATGGTTCAAGTGTTTCACCAACATTTGTTTAGAGTCCCACTAAGTGCTTAACTGGAGCTGGAATTGAAAACTGAATGAGACACTGTGCGTCCTTTTCATGAGACTCCAGTTCAGGTGACAGAAATGTGGGGTGAGGGAGAGAACTCAATAAAGACAACACAGCAGTTTCCTGGAGGAATTTAGAACAAAGAATAAAGATGGAGGCTTGAAGAGTAAAACAAACAGCCGAGGGAAAGGAGCCACCTAGGTGCCCCCTGAGGAAGGAAGAGAATATGAAAAACACCCAGAATGTAAACCGCTGGTGGGTAGAGGTGGGCTCCCTGCCACAGACAGCGGAGGCACAGCCAGAGGCCAGCAGAAATGAAGTCAAACCTTTGCAGGGTCCTGGCAAACCTCACGGAAAGCTAGGAAAGTAAACAAAGGGCCTAAGATGGAAAAGGCCAAGGCCAGATTTCACTGATGGTCACTCCAGCAACATACTGAAAAGAGATTGCTGCAGGCGAGCGAGACTCACTGTAGCTATTTGTATTTCATTTCCATATAGAGTGAGAGGTGACTATGAGCACTCTTGTCTATTTTTAAATAGTTTTTTGCCTTTTCCAGAACTGTACCCTGCGCTACACGAGCCCAATTTCATGACAGGGAATAAGGCAGCTAAGAGAAAAGGTTGTAGGGAGCTAAAATTCTTCCAGTTGAGACTTGAGATGCTGTGTGACTCATCCCGGTGGCCCAGATTGAGAAATTCCTAAAGCAAGTATGAGGACAGCTTACAACAAGTTCATATATAGTGACAAAGCAAAGAAAATTTTAACTTTACCTCTTATCAAATAGTTATTGAGCAATATATCCCTCAAATGAATGAATAGCTGAAATATAACATTATGTTTGAGCCATTATTTTTTTTCAACTTTAGTCAATTTGACTATTAGAAAGGAACTAGGGACCAGGAGTCTTCAGGAGGCATCAGGCAAGCATTTGATAATAGAGTACTTGACTCAAAGTCCTCAAGAGAACATCCTTCCTTTGGGGGTTTAGAGGCCTTTGCTGAATCAAAGCAGTGTTGTTATTTAAGTGTGTCAATGAAGATGAATAGAACTGGGGGGGGGGTGAGTCTCCAATGGCCTGAGGCAACTCAAAATAATTAAACTGTTTTAGCCCCTCCTTTACCTGTGGTTCTTTGTTCTGAGGCCAAATTAGTATTTTCTCACCTAAGAAACTTTTAGCCAAAAGACACATCATTTACAAAGAATCGTTTTCTGTAACTTTAGAGCTACCTGACGGGCTGTGTGTATATGTATCTGTGTAAGTAGGCACGTGAATGCACGCATGCGGGAGGGTGTGCAGAGCAGATGCTGTATCCACAAAGTCATAATAACTAACATTTAAAGGAAACTAAATCTCCTAGGGAAAAAACAAAATTCTAGAAGAAAGGTATTGACTATCCTTATTTGCTTTATGACTGTGCTTGAATCACTCTGCCTAAAGGCAACTTGGGCAGGAAAGGGTATGTTTGACTTGCACAGCCAGGTCACAGTCAAGGGACATCAGGGCATGCAACTTACTAATTCACTCCCTGGCTTGCACAGACAACTTTTTTATACAGCCCAGATCCACCTGCCTAAGGATGGTGTCACCCACAGTGGGCTTGGATCCTCCCATATCAATCATCAATGAAGACAGTCTTTCAAAGACATGATCAAGGCCAATCTAAGTGAGGCAGTTCTTCAGTTGAAGTTCCCCATCCCCAGGTGACTGTAGGTTGTATCTAGTTAACAATAACTAACCAACATCTACTAAATCTATTGAAGAATGTTAAGTTATGAGTCACTGTATCGATGTCACATATATTGCTACAGATTAGCTCATCACATTTCAATTTTATCATCAGGAAAAATGTATCTTTTCAGGGTAGGCTTATTTGTAGTTCGTTCATGCAATCTGCAGTTGGTTGCCAGGGCTAACTATGCTCATTTATGTTGGACACATTTCTTAAAATGATTTTTCATAGTTTCCTGTCAAATAGCAGACCTATCTATACAAAGGTAAATGCTTCCAAATTTCCTAAGTGACTTTTGTCAACTTGTCCTTTTATTTTTGAGGTTAATATATCATTTTCCCCTTCACTTTACTTCCTTCAAGCCTTCCCATAATCCCTTCCTGCCTTGTTTCAAATTCCTGGCCTTTCTTTCAATTCATTGTTGTTATATACACAAGAATATGTATATGCGTATATTTATAGATTCCTGAATATAGCCCACTCAGACAATAGAGTGTTGCTCCTGTATATATTTTCAGGAATAGGCATTTGGTATTGGATAGCCAATTTATGTGCTCTTCCCTGGAGAAGGTTATTTTTGTTTTTTCAGTATTCCTCAGTAGCCTGTAGTTCTTTGTGTAGAGTTGAGGTCTTGTGGTCATTCCCTATCCAACCCGACATGTTTATTGCTGTTGTCCTTATTCAGCTCATGTTTCAGCAGTCATATTGGTGAGAATTTATGGGTGTAGCTTCTGACATCCGGCCGAGAAACAGCCTCACAGCACACTCCCTGTTCCTCTGTCCTATATGGTCTTTCCAACCCCTCTTCAGAGATGATCCCTGAGCCTTAGTTATGGGAGTTGTAGTGTAGACATGTCAGCTGGGACAGGACTCCGTAACTCTGCATTTCGATTGGTTGTGGCTTTCTGTAATGGCCTCCATCTGTTGCAAAGAGAAGTTTCCTTGACTACACTCATCAGATGTTACTGGAAAGGATGTCTGGTATCTGGCCAGGAGGAGAGGTTGGATGTAGTATAATGTTTGTTTGCTTGTTTTAACCATGCTGTTGATGTAGAGCCTGAAAAATCCAAGAACATGGTACAGCCATCTGGTAAGGGAGTTCTTGAACAATAGCATAGCGGGGGTATCAGGGCCCCTTTCTTCCTCTTACAAAGCCACTAATTGTATCATGAGGACCTCACACTCATGGTCCCATCTGATGCTAATTACATCCTCAAAAATCCCACCCACCTCCAAATAATATTAAATATGAATGTAGTGATTGAATTTCCAATACAGAAAATTTGGAGGGCTCAGTGAACGATGACAGAAGGAAACCACTGAGTAGAGGTTAAATGAACAATACCTTCAGATGTGCTAAAATCATACTTGAGAACAATTTTTTCAGACAGGCTAAGCATAAGAACACTAAAGTCCCTCATGAAATAGCTAAGTCCAACAGAAAAAGCAAGAGATGCAGTAAAACCAGGAAGATTTATTACAGAACTAGCTATGTGTTAAATGATGCTTCCAGGGTCTTCTGGAATCCTCAGAACTACCTCCAGAAGTCGAAATTACCTTCATTTTTGCAACAAGATAAGTGGTTCTTGCCAGCATTGAACACAGGAGTGTAGGAGGGTGAGCCAGAATTCAGATTTGAGCCCCCAACCTATCTTTGTTGTGTTTGAGCACTTCCAGGTTGTGTTTTGATATGGATCAGCCTTGCACACAGAAGCCCCGACTTTTCTGTGGTGAGTCATGGCACCCAACTTAAAAAAAAATAAGGTAACATGGGGCACGGGGGTGCCATTCCCAATCTCGTACAACCCTTCCTGGACAGTGCACCTGACACTGCTTTCTCTGTAAATACGAAACCATAGTGCCTGCCCCACCTACGCCCCACGATGGCTAGGGGAGCCAGCTGCTGTGTATGGACAGGCACTTTCAGCTGTATGTAAATAAATCCATTAGTATTACTCTGAATATTGTCCATTTGCATTATAGGTAGAAAAGCTTGTCCAAAACTACAATGAAACCCATGTGTTTTTTCTCGTTTGTAGTTTCCCAAGATCCAGTTACCAAAA